CCCCCCTACACCTCTCATCCCCTCGTGCTTGCGGCGCCCGAGTTCGCTTATCACAAAATATTACACATCCCGCCCCGCCCACACACTCCACTCCTCCTGCGCTGTCCCATCCCCTCCTGACATGACGCCTCGCACTCACTGCTCACCGCTCTCTAGTTTTTTTCCCCCCGAGCTCGCCCAGTATTTCCTCCTCCGACGTCGTGCCGGGGATGCCGCCGCCGCCGCTGAAATACACCGCGGCATCGCGTGGCGGTGGACGACGGCGGCGGCGGCGGCGTGGCAGTGGCGACAAAACGAAGGGCGCGGTCCCCCTCCGGTCCCCTCCGCCCTCCCCTCCCAGCCTCTCGCGCCTGCAGGCCGCCAAGCTTCTTGTCCTCAGAGCTCGTCCCTCGAGAGGTCCCTCTGCTGCTGCTCCGTGGAATGAGCAAAAGTAAATAGCGTCGTTGTTGTGCTGAGAGTTTTCTTTTCCCCCCTCTCTCTTTCTCTCGCGCTCTCTCTCTCTCTCTTTCTCTCTCCTCCCCATAATGATAATGCGGTTTGCCGGCGGCGGCCTCTTCGCACCAGACCTGCCAGCCCGCTGCTGCGGCCGGACGGCGGCACGACCCGCCATATTGAGCGCAAAAGACGGCCAAAAACCGCGCCGCGCCGCGCAAATCCCTTGCCGAAAGAAAACAACCCCCGGCGCCTTCACTACTTTCCGTTTTGAAAACTCCGGTGGGTGCGGAGGCGCCTTGCGAGAAAGCCCCCGCTGCTCCGTGCGCGAGCACTGCTGATGCTGCTGCTGCTAGGGGGAGGTTCGGGGACAAAACGGAGGTCCCCGGCGACAGCGCGAGGCAAGGCAGGGAATAGCGAGGCGCACTTACCATGCGGGGCGTGGCGTCCTCGTCCTCGGCCGTCCAGGTGTAGCGCTTGGGGTCGGGGCCCCCCGGCGGGCCCCCCTGGGGCGCGGCGCACACGGAGCGGGGCCGGCGGCGCAGCGTCCCGGGGGCGGCCAGGTCCTCGCGGGCGGCGGCGCTCGCGTAGCGCGACCAGCGCGGCAGCGGCGCCGCCTCGTGCAGGTTCTCGTCGCTGGGCACCTTGCGCCGCATGCACACCGACAGCAGCGAGGACCGCGACGAGCCGCATGGCGAGTTCTCCTGGGTGAACCAATAAAGTAAACGAGTAAAGTCAAGAGTGCAAGTGAAATGACACAACACTGTGAAAAATATCGTCGTAAATTTACAAAAATTTTGTAAGCTCGAATTATAATTTAAGTTGTAAATTTATGACAGCACATTTTTTTACTCGCCAAGGGATTTTCAGTCAATACATACTGCATGTAATTTTACGATTACAAATTGTAATTTTACAACTTGTGTCAAGGAAAATTTTCTTGTAAACCTACATGTACTTTTTTTTAAACAGTGAACTGTGAAATTAAAGTTTGAAAGTACTACTACAGTAAAATGAATATCAAAAGTCAGCCGTCACCTTAACGTTACTCAACACGCTGCACTGAAAGTGTTAAGGCACCGTCTGCACAAAAACACTAAAATGAACAAGTGACTCACGTAGGAAAGACAGCCGAAGATGCCCTGGTTGCCGCGGCGCTCGAGCCCGATGAGCTGCTTGTCCGTGATGCAGTACTGCTCGCGGATGTCCTGCTTGCTGTAGTGCGCGCCGCCGCCGTGCAGAGGGCGCCGCGAGCGCCGGGCGCCGCCGCCGCCGCCGCCCGAGCAGCCCGTGCCCGACCCCGTGCGCCGGCCCATCCCCTCATCCTCCGACTCGTACGAGAGCGGCTCGGCGCCGCGGAGGTCGGCCTGCAAGGGAGAGGAGAGACAATTAACATGGGGCATTACGGCGCGTAATTGGCCGAGCAGAGTGCAATCCAAAGGGGTTGCTCTTCCGGCGCGGGGGGCTCGGTAAACCGTTTGGTATGCATGCGTCCTAAGTCGCATACTGTTATCCCCCCCCCCCTCCTTCCCCCCTCCACCACCCGTCCCACCCCACGCTTGTATATGACCTCTTCTTTGGGTCGTTAAGCGACCGTCGTCGTGGGGTCTCCTCTCTGCTGAGGCTTATGGGGGCGAACTCCCCCAGCAGCAGCTTCCCTGATTCCTCAGTCCGCTCGACAGAGTGAACGTTTTGTTTCTTCTCATAGGGAACACAACGAACGAAACATATCGTTTCACTTCAACCGGCACACAAACACAGCTACAGCTTCCCCCCACATTCAGACCTGTTAACCCTGCTCCGTTCACCTGCCTGCTCCTCGCCGGACGGTTTTGCTCTGCATCTGCCCGGCGGCGTGGGATCACACGCTGTGTGGTGCTGGAGGCGAGGGCGCGGGTGGAGGCGGCTCAGGGAGGGGGAGGGTCCCGGCCGAATGGGCCTACAACCGGGCTAAATTTGACAGAGAGAAAGGGGGGTTGGGGTCAAGGGCTCCCAGCCACGGATGACCCCTTCTCCCCTGCCCTCCCCCTCTATTTTCTTCCTCGGTCCGTCCTTCCGTCCATCTCCATCTCTCTCACTCTCCCTCCCATGGACGATTCGTGCCTAGTTCACTGCCCCCCGCCCCCCGAGCGGCAGGGCAGACACTCACTATAAGCGGATCCGTTTGCTTTTCCTCCATCTTTCCGTCCCCAGTGATTAATTTTTTGGCGTGCGCCGCACCGCCGTCGTCGCCCCATCGGTGGCTCGAGGCAAGACTGTTTCTTTTGTTCACGCGGCCTTCCCGACGGCTTGTTTTTCCTAGCAGCGGCCCCCCGCGGCGGCAGCGCGGCGACAGTGGTTGGCAGTGGCGCTGGTCAAAAAGCTTCAAAGCAACACGTAAAGGCGACGACGCCCGGCGCGCGCGCGAGTTTTGGGGGTGGTCCTTGTTGAAAAAGAGAAGGGGGTGAAAAGTTGGCAAAACGCGCGGCAGCGTCGGGCGTCGGAGCCGGGGACACTGGCCAAACAAGTTTGGCTAAGTTGCTAAAAATGGAAAGAGCATCCGTCGCGTTGGGCAGCGGGTCCCCACCCGCTTGTCGCCAGCTCGACACAGCGCCTCCGAGTTCACCGTCTTGACTGGGGAAAAATGAAACTCATCAAGCAACTACTCTGCTCCGGAGGAATTCTGCATAATTTTTTATTATTTCTAAAGAGCCACCAACATTTGAAAATGGAATTACTCCCCTTTCCCTATTTTTGACAATATCTCAAAAACTATGGGTCGTAGAGACATTCCGATGGCATATTCTTGTTCCTTGGTCCATTCTGCATCCGGAGACACCTGAGATGACAATCTAGGACCAAAACTTTAGTCATAGTGCAAAATACCCAAAATGCCTGCATAACCACTAATTTGCCCACAGTTCCGGAAGTAAATTTTTCTCGGCCAAACGCTTCCTGGCCTTTTTTTCAATTCAGTTGAGGAACATGTCCACCAAATATCAGCCAAATCGGACGAGGTCGTAGGCACGAGCTGTCTTTCTTAAATAAATCCACTCAATAAGAAAAACAAACCAAAAGCCATAACGAACTGCTCGTTCAAGTCAACGAACCGAAATCCTATTCGTGTCGCCCGCCGCATGGCCGCCGCTCTCCCTTCGCAGACGCACAAACTAGGTTAGGGCAGGCCCGGATGTTTTCCCCTCGTTTGGTGCGTGATGGAAGCTGGGTCAGCCAACCCAGCGCCCCCTCCCCCTCCCCCC